AAGGCTGCTGTCGCCAAGGCGAAGAACACGGAAATGGACGCCTTGTACGAGAAGTTGGAGAGCAGAAACGCAGAGAAGTTCGTCTTCAGACTGGCCAAAGCCCGGCATCGAAGCTACTCAAGAAATCAGGGTGGTGAAGATAAGGTAAAGAGCAGCAATGGCTTCCATCCTTAGGAAGTCTCCCGAACTCACGGCCATTTGTTCACATATTCTTTCCTCTTAGTATTGTATGACCATCTCGCCACTATTCCCGCCTTGGTGACAGCAGTGAAATGAAGCAGACTACACTTCTTCGTATCTCATTGTCGCAGCTAGATATAAGCAAAGCGAAGGATGGAAATTAGCCACCAGTCCACAAAAGATGTTGGAATTCACAGTAGTAGACCCTAGGCTCAGATCAAGCAAGGAGAAGAGTATAGTCACAATTAACTTGCGCTCGTGTTTATTGTACCAGCATCAACACCGAAGTAATCAAAATGACACTTTTCTCGATATAATAGGGATGACCATCGCGTAGAGCACGCCTAGCACAGCGTGGATTCATAGTCGTCTGTCGCAAGCTGCTGCACCTCAACTTTCACACGGGAAACATCCACTCTTCGTAGAGTGAAGGGACGAAGTTTAAATGCTGCCACAGTTACGAGTGAAAGAGCGTTTTCTATCTTATAGGATTCTGGTCACCTAAGTCGTACGCAACAATACAAGAAAGTTCCGAGCATGCACGTGCATCCACTGTTGGAGCCTGACAGCTCCATCACAATACAAGTTTACTTATGCAAGCTTCAGATCCGATAAAACCTGATTTTGATAGCCCTATATCTAATGGTTTATTCCTTGCTCCACTGTTTGTATACTGGGAGGAAAAGTCACTTCCCTTCACATTTCAAACAGCATTAATCACGCTTTATTAGATTCAAATCGAATGATCTCAACTGGGAATTGAAGATCACTTTCCAATCTATCGAAAAACTTATCTCTCCACCTCCACGGCATCAGGTTTGTTTCAAAAACATAGTACGAGCTCAGAGAGCTCATCGACAGATGGTGGACCATTCGGCTTTATCTGGAACGCTGGTGGAAAACGGTCATACTTAGAGCTACTGTCTCTAAGAAGCTATTCACCAGTTAATCGATTGAAGAAATTATGTAGCAGCTTCAGGCTGGAGCGATTACGGTAAGCCTCGTTGAGCTCGACGGTGATGGAAGATGACGTCATATTCTGAAACCGTGAGGGCGGGACATGTAAGGAACATTTTGCCGTTTGACTTTCACCGACATCGGCACCATGCGCGATGAATGTTTGGTGATGCGCGTCATGGGCCAAGTTCTCCTTCCCCTCCCCCCCCACCCCGACCACATTGAAAGTTGGAAGTTCCCACCGACAAATTAGGTTCTTTGAAAGCCGCCTAAGAAGATTTAACAACTTAATTCTTACTTTTTTTGGCGTTGACCTGTTTTAGGTGCTAATTTTCCCCTAGGTTACCTCATCTCTGTCCCGCTTTTTGGCTTTTTTTCTCATTTTTCAACATGGAATACACTTATACAATAAACAATTACAATGCCTGGAACACATTCGATTGCCCTCACAAGTCCGGATTGAGGTGCAATATTTAACGCGTAAAAAGAGGTGTTCGACGCCAAAAGGATCGTCACGAAACTTCCACACGCTTTACTGACCTTCCCAACGATTTATTTTCGAATAAAAGCATCTAATAACAAATAACTAGTAACTAAATGGTGTAACAAATAAGTGAAATAAATGGCATTACCGGTAAAGTAATGGATAACAATGTCAGAAACACGAAATTTCAGATACCCCCAAATCTTCTCGAATCGATGTTTTCTAAAAACTATGTCTGCAACGAAATGTTGAAGAGAAAATAACACTGTGCTTTGGTTCAATCGACTATCAAATAGCCGTATCATTGATGTTACTGACATAACTCACCCTTA